TCTCCATGGAGCCAAATTAGAATCATAGACTCCTTTAGGTTGGAAGGGACCTCCAAGATCATCCAGTCCAACCATTGAGCCATTAGGGCTCTAAAGTCCTCTGCTAAAACAGATCAGAATCTGTCAGGGCTGGAAGGGACCCCAAGGATCCCCCAGTTCCAACCCCTCTGCCATGAGCAGGGACACCTCCCACTAGATCAGGCTAATTCACCTCTGTTACAATCAGACGTGTGGACTAATTACCCTTGGCTGTGTTTTCTGATGCTACTAGAAAAATCACCTAATTAGCATTGAGAAAGGCTCGTTCCCTTGTCCTGGAGAGGACCTCAGCACACAGCGAGTGGATCCACCTGAGGTGTCAGAACCTGCCCTTCAGCCTGGTTCCATCTCTTGATGTTGACATCAGGTTTAGGTTCAAAGGAGCTTCCAGCAGTTTGGTTGCTTCTCAGAATTTCCAGGATATCTTTTGCTGCTGGTGAGGACAATCAACCTGACTCCCCAACCTAATGTGAATCAAGAATTGTACCTGTTCTTGATACCAGTTGTGAGCCATTGCTATAAAAAGAAGAATCAGGGCCCCTAAGAGTAGATTTTCTCCTGCCTTGCCCATTTTCTTGCTTTTTCCAAAACCCAGTTGAGAGGAAGGGCTTGAGAGAACAAAAATCCCACAGATGTTTCAGAAACTTCTGCAAGTGTTTGATTTTTCTTTTTGTTTTTCCTCCAAACTCAACTCTAAAAGTGCAGAGACATGATATGAGCAAAGAGCTGCATTGATTTGCCTTGACCTGGCTCATGAGTTTTGATGGATACTTGCTGAATACCCAGCTCAAAATCACCACTTTGGACACAGATTTGGCTCCAGACCCAATTTCTGGCTTTCCCTTCGTAACGAGACCAAATCCTACTTGGAGTGGACTCGTGGGAACATCAGGGTATCAGAAACCAGCTCTGGGCTCCCAAATGTTGTGGCTCCTCACCAGCCACGTGATGTCCCCACAGCACTTCCAGTGTGAATTCAGATGTGGCTTTATGAGGGGAAGGCAGAAGCAGCCTCAGAGAGAAGAGGTCTGTGTTTAGAACAACCTTCTCCAAGCCATTTGGTAGCACTACCCAAGGGGATGTGGACAGTGTGATTACACAAGGGTTGAACTATTTTAGGACAAGAGTCCTTTTTTCTTTGGGATGTTTTAAAATCAACATGTTGTTAAGTAATGAGATATTGTCATAGTCTGAGGAAACTTGGACCTTTCTTGTGGTCAAGCAACAATGAGTTGACTCAGATGGAGAGTTTTCTACTGGGCTGTCTCAGTGGTAGGACACAGTCCTGGACACTTCATTGAACTTGTT